CACATAGTAAGCCAAATGGGTGCGCGGCTTCAGCTGTCTACTAGGGGTATTAACAGAATGGGATACGAGTGATTATGGTAACGCTGTTCGTGTTTTCCGAAGTATGCGAAACTTTCAAAAAAACTGACAATCCGGTCCATCACTAGACTTTCCCATTCGAGACTCGCTGCTGCATAGGACGACAGAGCCAGCTTTAGTACCGCTTTTGCCGAGCCTTTCTTACACATGAGTACAATGCCATTTGCTCCTAAAAAACTGAGCTTTCGAACCTAAATCCAGATTTTCCGTCCTCCTCACTCCAGTGTGAATGAAGTGAGCAAAGAGTTGTGGGAGGCAGCCGGTCACAACCGAGTGACTGAATCCCTCGAGCGCGAAGTATGAACGCCGCCTTAGCTGCTATCATTACCGTAATCGCTTTGTCTTTGAATCAGTACTGATTCTATGCTACCATGCAGCCCTTATCACTTATCATGAGGACGTGCAGGTGGAGAGAAGGTTTTGGTGTTAGGGCAGACCCTTCCCGTTGTGGCTTCGGGTGTCCAAGGAGCGGTAGGAAAGGGGCTGGCGCCGCGCCCAAACCCCCGCCGCCCTATTATGCCCGACTAACTTCAGTTATAACGACTGCTTGTATGTATTGCTCAAGATGTATTGTCCACACGCCCAAAAGGCAGCCCCGTCCGTCCCACCAACTTTCAGCTCCAACCTCTGTAACATTACGAAACTCACCGCTTCCTAAAGAATTCTCCATAGTCCATCCATCGATGACCTTCCCTTTGAGCACCGTCTCCACTTCATCTGGTTCCCAGCTGTAAAAGAGCTTTCCTAGGAATAACAAGCAGTGGGGAATGATCCTGGTAGAGGGTGGGTCTCTCTGATTGGTGGATCACTCGTGAAAGCAATCGCAACATTTTCAGGGAACCTCCGCCCATCTGTAACCCTTATCTGCCATTAGACGAGTCTGAGGGGAAAAAAGCGCTTGATTTGGGGATTCCTGTGACGCGCGGACTTGCAGAGCGTAAGGTTCATAACTGGCGCAAACCGCGCCTCCACTGCTTCCAATTGTATGGATGATTACTCACGCAGTCTTGATTCCTGCAAACGATGGGCGCGTGACGTAGCGTGAATTTTGCGCCCCTAGGGAAGCCTTTCTCACCAATTGTAATGGGCTTAGAATGACATCATTGATGGAGAACGCCGCCTGCACCTGAATCCACGCCCCAACATACGCCCTATCGTTTGCAGGTATCATGGCTATACGTCTCCAGCACCTTGTAACATAACCACCTTTCCCACCAGCACGCGCTCCAACACGCTGGTTAGCACCTATAAATATGAATGTAACGCTACACCCCTTTCAAAGCAAGCATCGCAGAATCCAATTTATTCTGTCCTGGTCAGTAAGTATCCAAATGTTTCATGCCAGTCTCAGGATTCCACCACAGAAACTTTTGCAAAGATCGTTCCTTCCGCCATAGGTCATTTGGATCAATTTTCGTCAAACTATGGAGACACTCTGTTGCCATTAGACCATGTTCGTTGCATGACACTTCGGCGTTTTCACGGGAAGGGAAAAGGCTGGGTTTTGCGCCACAACTAGCCTGCTCTCCATCAAGTCTGGAGCCGGCAAACCGCCGCTGAAAAGCTGACAAGTGCCCACGAAAGCAACGAGGAACTCTCACCTCATGTTACTAGCGATGCCACCCTACGGAGCTGAATGACTAGAAATGAGGTACACTGCTTGGAGGGTGGTTGATATCATGGCATTATCAACAAGCAAAACATATAAATCCACAGGGGATAAAAGTCCTGGAAGAAAATTTAATATTGTCTACTGGGAAGGATGAGAAAGAAAGAAAAGGTATATATATTCTAAGCCGTATGAGTAGACCCCATTTGGGATGCAGCACGCATTCTGCTGACAATCAGAATCGTGTGCCTTATGGTAGCGATGGGGCATAGACAATGAGTTACAGGGCCAGCCGATGCACAAGGGTTCTTATCCTATCCGTTTTTATTGTTTTATCCTTTCAGGAAGTCTGTTACCGAGTTGCCGTCCCCGATTGTTAAAACAGGCTTAGGTTGTCCGGGGGGGGGGGAAGGTCCGATCGTGACTATTTGGACCCTGAGAATGCCGTCGCGTGATTAACGTGTCATTCGCCATTCTAGAACATCACTTATCGATGGATGTGCAATTAGAAGCAAAGAAAAACAAACATTGGGAAAGGAATACACTCCCCAAAGCACAGATGATCCGTCTTGCCAGGTATCGCCCTGTAGTAGGAAAAAAAGAACACTTTTAGGGTGTAGATCGGGGGGGGGGGCAGAAAAGACGTCGCTCATGGCAGAGGGTTCACCTCGCAAAGTGTGCCAAGAAACGCTGTATTCCGTCACGCGAGCGTGAAGCCAAACATCATCGCCATCGAGCTCGAGACGGTTCTTGCACAGTTCTTGCTTGAGGCTGAAGCAGCTCTGCAATCTCCAAGGTTGAATCATCCGAGTGGACTTCTGGAGTTGCTCTTTCAATGCCAGAAGATATCAGTCATTCAGCCTTACAGGGCTGGAAGGACCTGAAACCAGGACACGAACCTTAGCAGCGGCTTTTCAAGCGTGGTACAAAATGGTTTTCGCCTTCGGGACCAAGGTGCCCTGTTAGCCACAAGACCATCCCTCACCCTCAGCAAGCTGGGGTTTACACCCCTATGTTGCGGAGTATAAACCACAGTTTCGCCTTGAATACTTCGCACGGAAAGGGATGGTTCAGTTCATATCCCACAATGAGGCGAATCGAGGATGCCGCTGCTCCAATCAAACATAACTTTTAAAATTTCGAATCTGATTCCTCTCGTGGGGGCCAACGATGAAATAAAGACAGGGATAACTTCGCTCTTGGCTCAGTTGTCCTGCGGGACCACATTGTCAGGGACAGTTTGGAAACGAGGAAACTCGTCCGGATGCTACATCGCTCATTTTAACCGCTAACGGTATGTTGTGTATGTAACTGGTGGTGAGTGGAGGGAGAGTCAGTCGCCTCTTGGTATCGCTTTCACCAAAAAAAACTTAGGCGCAGACGCAGACGACCACAGTCGTCGAAAGATTAGTCTTAGGATATCTGTCAACCGCAGAACCTCGCTCCTTCTTTCCCTTGCTTCCTTCTCTTTCCTTATTTTCCCCACTTCAAAATTATAGCTAGAAGGTGTGATGAGAAAATTCCTCTGGACATTCGCACGAGAGAATATCCTGGCGCCCCCCTCCCAAGTACGTTAGCGCCCATCTGGCTCATAGGATGTGAACCAAATTGTTATTTCAAGGGTTCGTCGCACTTATCTCCGAAAAATCGAGGGTGACTGGAGCGCGATTGTCACTCATCGCGCCGACGAGTTTTCCGCCGCGATGCGGCAACCCATGCGATGCCGCGTCAGCATAACGGCTTTTTGCGTTTGTTGACAATAATTCTGGTATTTTTTACAACGTGTGAAGGGGATTTACTGGATCAGCTGCTTCTGATTATCCGCTCTTGTTTTTATTGGCGGCCCAGCTACTGTTTTCGAGCTGTGTTCGTCTTTTTTCGAGTAACACCAAAGGATTTCTAAGGCTCGCTTAACAAAAATTCCTGTTTTTTGAAAATG